TTAATTATACCTGACGTCTGGCGCTCACCTGTTGCCGCCTTGCTCAAATCGGCGCGGTGGAAATTACCATCGAACAGACGCGAGTGGGGCCGTGCGACAAATCAGATTACGTCCTCCATGCCGCACGTACGACTCGCTCGATGAAACGCAAACTGCGAGGAGCACAGGATTCGCCGTTTAGAGGGGATGCAGCTGCCAGTTTTAAAGCCACCTCGTTACAACAGCCTGTCACCATATCATCCGGCACACATCCGATCTCGCCATATCTCCGAAATCTAACCACAGGGTTGAGAGCCAGGACAGTGCTTGGATAGGCAACAGACGTGAATAAAAACTGGGGTGCCGTTGTGTGGGCAGCACAAGGCAGAGCTGCAAAATCCATGCTCTCACATATATATTTGCTGCCAGCCGTTATCAACCAACACTGACCAGTGTGGCGAAGTATGGTCAAATAACCCCCAAGACCAGTGAATAACGCCCATGATGGGGAGGCCTTCATCCAGCATGTTATAAAGCATTATACACACTACTGACCTACCTAGCATTAAGCCTGCTTAACACAACCAACAGCGCTGATAAGGTGCCCCAGCGAATGCCCATTACTGCTGTTGCAACTTTCGGGATGGACATTGGACTTCCTATCAAGGGAAGGTACCTTTTGTGAGGCTCACATATTGAAATGTGTCGGCACATTGCAGGGTACACATCATCAACATTAATTAACTACTTCTGCCACTGGCGGCAGCAGCAGCAGGAGGAGCACGTGAATTACGGAACACATACATGTAAGAAACATCACATTGAATGTTGAGAATAGTGAGCATGCTTGAGTAGGACACGTTGCCGGAAGGGATGACGGTGGGTTGCTCGTGACTAATGAAGGAGTGGCAGCCAAAGAAAGGAACATGCCTGAGAGGGCATCCACTGTGGCAATGGAGCGATGACATCAGCTTGTGTCCTGGTGCTATATGGATTGTTGCATAGCTAGACTGTGAGAGATGGTGATGGCTTGGGGAGATAAATCTCATGTCTTGTAAGAAAAGCAAATTTATTTTCTTACAGGACATGAGATTTGCTTTTCTTACAGTGAATGCCATGGTAAATGAAAAAGTAAATAAGTGTATAATGACCTGTAGAGTAAATAAATCACGGGGTTATAAACACGCGTACAATAATTGCCGTGTAGTGTATATAAAAGTGTTTACATGACATAGAAAAAAAAGATGTTACTGCCCATGGGCTGACAGGTCAGAAGTTCATATTCATTAAATAAACACAAAAGCCCCAGGACTGCAAGGCATAATTACAGCATCTGACTTGTGTTCATGACCCGTGGCCTTTTAAAAATTGCTTAAAGGACGTTCTCCCGAGGCCGTGCATTGTTGGCTCATGGAATTGATCGATGCTCAGCAGTGAGGATTTTCACAAGTTCTGCGCAAAATAACCCCAATTGCCTTTTAGCCCGTGACAATGTATGTTATCATCCACTGTTATCACGTGGATGATGGCAGGTTAGCTGGAGAGGTGTGGAGCTTTCAAGTGAGCTCACCACGGCACCGGTCCGTACAGTGGTTGGTTTTGCTTTTGTCGCTGCGCTGTGATCAGTGCGGGTAACAATTGAAGTACTCCACTCTTGATAAAGTGGTGATTAAGTACGGTGACATCACTGGCCAAGAAGTGATGGTGGGCAAGATGTGTTGGTTTACGTGACCAACATATCAAATTTGGACACAATGTGCAATTAAGCTGCCAAATTTAAATGATTTTCTCAAGATAAACGGCGACTTACACAAACATAACACCAACTACTTTGGTTTTCCTTGCAAAGTAAAGGAAAAAACTACATTCATGGACATTAATCAATTAAAGACTGGATGAAGGCAACCCAGAGCCATGTAGGCCATGGGGGTTGTTTGACCATACTTCACCACGGTGGTCGGTGTAAGTTTGTGAAGGGGGCACCCATGATTGGTTCAGATATCACTCGCCACTGATGTTAGCAGCGGCCAGAAATGGAACCCAGGTCACTGGGTTCATAGCGCAGCGTGTTAACCACTCGGCCAACTAATGCAAAATAAAAACTGAATTTTAATGAGCTCTCTCACCTGACTTTCGACATTAACTTACAAACAACCTAGTGATTGCCATGGAGGTAGAATACTGCTGTGGTGTAATGATTAACACACAGGACTTGTAATCCAGATGTTACTCGTTCAATCTCACAGCACGGCAGTTGAAGCAGTGGTCAATATTTATTTTTAAAACATCCCTGCTTCTGTCTTCCCAGCAGTATAAAAAGGTCCACCGAAGTTATTCGACTGACATCTTGCATGTGGTGGGGTAAAGTGTTGGCAACGCCAACTCTGAAAGTATGGAAGAGTAGGTCAAAAATACCCCACACATACAGAGGGTCTCTTTAGAGCACCCTCAAGTGGAGACCCTTCCTGCCAGCAGCCAGAGGCTTGAGTGAGGAAGTTTACCTTTTACTACGGAGGTCTTAAGCGCTATCTACTATTCAGAAAAAAACGGCTCTCACACACAAATGCAGTATCATATATGAATAAAATGATTGTTAGCAGCACAGGAAATAAAAAAAAAATTCAAACAAATCTTGTTTGGCAGTGCCGTTTAAAGGATGAGACAGATAAACCACTTGAGATGGTGAAAAACACGTCATATATGATTTGAGGCTCTTACATTTTCAATATACTGCAATGTCAATGCCATTTAGTCTCAAGTTGAACATGCCATACCCACAAGAGAGCCCTTCCCATTATAAATGGGCACAACTTGCCTTTCAGTGTGCTGTGCACAAGACACTGACTGATGGAACAAAAGTATACACAAATACAAGTTCACCAACAGAGCCACAACAACACAATATTTATATGGTGCCTTTCAGGATCAACACCCGCACCAAGCATTCAGCAATCTAACCCTCATCTACGCGCATTAAAATTTGAAGGGATTTTTTTTTTTTACCGCACAAGGATTTCCAATCAGCTAGCTGCCATTTAGCTGTGCACCACAATAAAAACAAATGGCAGCGGGATTTATGCTCTAAATAACACGGGTCAATACAATCCAATACAATGTGGATTCATACAGCACTTAAATAGCACTGCATTACAAGATGTTGTACAGAAGCATTGCGAGTATTTACGTGTATAGAGATAGGCAGTGAGCCAAAGTGAGAGACAAACAGGATAGGTTTTGAGCCTCAACTTGAACAGGAGCAGGGAGTAGATGGCACGGAGGGCTGGAGGAAGTGAGCAGAGTGCAGCACAATGGTCATATCCCGTTTCCAGTCGTTGAGTACATATATATGTAGAGCCCCTTTTACCAGTCCACTGCTGGATGAGGGCCTCCTCATGCCGCACAAGCTGCAGGGGTTATTTGGCCAGCATCGGTTGGTCAACGTGGGAAGCAGTTCAATGGATTTTGCTGCACTGCCCCCTGCTGCTCACTACACTGTAGTTCCACAGCAACCTGTGACAACCTGCTGTACATGGTGGTCACCCATCCAAGCCTATCCAGGCACAACCCCCGCTTAGTCTTTATTTATTCTTCGTCTTCGACCTTCACATGAAACCAGCCGAAAAATGGTTGTTTATTAGGAAGCCAATGGAGCTAAGCAGTTTTAAAATCTAGATTGAAAACTCATTTCTTTACAACTGCTTTGTTGTGTTTCGTTTGTCGTCCTTTCCCCGCGCCTCCAATGAGCACGGTTGGCTACGTTTGGTGTGTAAAAGGTTAAACAAACATACATACGTTATAAAAAACATAACTACAACACACTGGCCACATGCTGATATTTGTGTGTAAACAGGAAAAAAAACTAGAGCTCAAAGACATCTGTTTAAGTCCTTAATAGTGTTGTCTGCGGTGCACAAGCATTAATAACAAAAACAAAACCTCACATTCATTAATAACATTGCTTTAAAGAGGAAAAATACACCATAGGTGATGTAATGGGCAATAGCCCTCAAGTCATAAGTACTATGAAGCGGAGCCATTGCCCAAAACGTCAACCATTCTATATACTTTTCCTTTGATTGAAGTGTTAATGATGAACGTGGAGGTTTTTTTTGTCGAATCAATTGATCTCTTGCATAGACACATTGCATTTTCACTGTACAATTTAGCAGAGAATGTGCAGCACACAGAGGCAGCGTGTAAAGGAATAAAAAACGATTACCCACAAAATCTAATTGACTAGAAATGTAGGCTGCTTAAGTGGATGAAAAAAATGATTTATAAAATGCATTGTGGCACTGTAGGGAGGTGAAACAATAAAGATTAATAAAGTTGAAAGGTAAATTATTTTAATGAAGCTTGCATGGGTTATCCTCAAAAATATATACATGTGGTTTATCGGTAGAACAGTGGGTAGCTCAGTGGGTGGCACACTGCACTATGCACTCAGCAACGTGAGTTCAATTCCTGGCAATAGCAAATGCTGAGGGACCCCCTGAGAGATATCTGAACAATTCCTGGGCACCCCGCATTACGAACCTGCACTGGCCAGCCGCTGTAAGCATGGTCAAACAATCCCCAAGAACCTGAAAGGCCCCCATTAGGGCCTTCACTCGAGGCTTTAGAGAGCCCCTCTATACGTGGTATTTTGGCCCACTCTTCCATGATGAACAAACATTTTAAAAGATGGCAGTACCGACGCTTTACACTTCCACGCACAATCTTATTTTAGGTGGCTTATTACTGGGCAATAAATGCTCATTTTCCACGGGAGACCTGCTTACACCATAGAAACCTGGCATGTGGATGGAGCGCCTCCATTCTGTATTCATGCATGTAAGTTGAACTTATTTCGCGCCGTACGTAGCAAACCGCGCTAATCGGAGGTGCGGCGGGGGGTGGGGTGGAAGGACAACAAACTGAACACCAAAAACAGTGGATTGACAAAGGGGCCACGCGCACGTACACGAGTGCTGTCAAGATTATTTTTCCAGGACACCCCCTGGAATGTGCAATGGGCTTACCCATGACGCGGGCTTGCACGGCGACGCGCGCACAGGTGCGGTCGTTGGTCTCGCTGGCCAGCGTGAACTCCTCCCGCAGGACCCCCTCCTTGTGAGCTATGTATAGGCACTCGATGACGTGACCTAGGAAGACCAAAGGTGGACAGCACACATGCCTGTTACTGGAGGTGCAATCGGGGTGGGGGGGAAAGGGGGCAGTTCCACCACCCCTCCCCCCCCCCGAACATGTTTTGATGGTTGTTCCAAGTCATCAACAAACTGTTTGTGATTCTGTGTTGGAAGTGGTGGTTAAGCACGTGCAACAAATCACAATCAGAATCGTTATTTAGACTGGAGGAATTCCATAGGCTGTGAAGCTCCCTTTTCAACGATGTCCACTAGATACTCAGCAAGTGTGTCAATACCGCTGCTCATTGAACCATGCATGCCCTGGTGAAATGCAACTTTTAATTTGGGGCAACAACAAAAACGATTTGAATGTATACAGCGTTGATATGCAACCACAACACCTCCGATTAGCACGGTTGGCTAAGTGCGGTGCGAAAGAAGTTAAACATACATACGCACGCTTTACATACTCCAAGAATAATATGAAGAAGGTTAAATAAGAAAGCGGTGGCGGAGGGTGGGGGAGGGCTGGGACACAATGGGAGAGGGGACCGAGAAAGAGAGATCGCGGGTGGCCCAGGACCAACGAGGCCAAACACGGAGGGAGCCAAGCAAACGGAGGGGGGGGATCAACAAATTCCAGACCCAGAGGGGTCGGGGAACATCAACAACAAGTCGTAGGGGGAAGCCGGTACATTTATCAAGAAGGACGACACTTTATTTTTATTGATCTGGTTACTGGCTTGTGACAAATGCCGCTCCCTCTTCCCCAAAATAAACAACTACAAAAACAAACTTTGGCGATCTTATAAATGCATCTACAGCCTAGCTTCTGAATCTACCTTATGTCAGAGGCCACTCTGCTCTCCGTTGGTTGAACTCATCACTGCAATCTGTACATTAACTCAAATCTATATCCACTGGATATCCGGACTTAGCCTAACTGGGATGTCTTCATACTAAAAGGTCCTTTTAAACAAATATGACAATTATCTAAATTACTACTTAGTAAATCTAACTCCCTCTTACAGCCTCAGAAGTGCCTCCTTATTCCTACAAAAAAAATCCATTTGCAAAAACGTTGTTTGGTAAAGTATTTCTGTGTTGCTGCTCCAGTTTCTGGAATACTCTTGCCAACTCGTTTTCAGCTTAGTTCCCTCCCTTCACTCCCCCTCAATCTCCCCAGTAAACCAAAACACAAGAGCTTGTATGAATGTTTAACTTATTTTGCACCGTACACAGCCAACCGTGCTAATCGGTTGCACCAAACTTGTCCTCTGGCACCTCTTGCTCCCACGTTTGCGCAGTCTTCTTCGACGTGCGTGTGCTTGTCACTTTTAGACTAAAATTTAGGGCTTACTTGTCACCTGCACATCACCTTTTCTTGCGCATCTTGCTCTCATATTACATTTGCGCAGTTTTTTATTCGCATGTTTGATTTACAACAGTTAAATACCTCGGTTTTTTGGTTGTGCAATATTCCTTAAGGATCCCGTACGCATCTGCAATGTTGATGTCTTGGGTCATTGTTTTGTTGTTCCTGTGCTCATGCACCACAGATCTCCCTTGTAAAATAGCAGGGTGACTGGATAAATGTTTTCATCTGTGTAACAAATCAAATAAACTCAAATGCAGATGTACAAAAACTAAATACTACTTGCATGGACCTACGAAGCAAGAAACCCTTTCAGATCTTCTGCCAAAAGGTAATGTAGCAAATTACGGATCAGTGTTATCAACGCTGCGTTCATAAACAAGCAGATATAAATATGATTTGTTAGTGTTCTTTAAATTGTGCACTTTTTCGCAGTTTTCTACGATTTTCATGCTACAATTCCAGAACCGAGATGGAGCAGTGGCACTGTGATTAGCGCAGTGCACTATGAATCTGGGGACCTGTGTTCGATTCCAGACCATGGCAAACATCAGCGACCAGTGATATTTGAACCAATCCTAGTCCCCCTTGTCACCAACCCACACTGACCAGTGTGATAAAGTATGGTCAAACAAACCCCCACGACCGAGACACGTCATAGGGAGGCCCTACATCCAGCAGTGCATTTACAATGAGATGTACATTATTATTAATCATTATGGCTAAACCCTCCGTACAGTATGTGGCAGAGGGCTCTGATGTATGGAATTCGTCGTGGTCAGAGGTCAAACTAAAATGATATGTTATCAGTAAAACCGTAACACTCACAGGGTAAGAGTGCGGAACTGTGAATTGTAATCACAATTGCCACACAGCTGCCAGTGATGATTAACTGCGAGGCAGAGAGAACGGCAGGAAAATAAAAAATCTATATTAATGTGTTGGTCCTGTTGCCAGTCAAGTCAATGGCATGCGACATGTTTTTACTTCACAACGAGCAGCAGATGTAACTATCATTACAGTAACATTTACATTTTTTGTATTCCATGCTTATGTTCAATATTTAAATTCGGAGTACCCTGCGCAGCAGCAGTCACGTGGGCAATAGCACACAGGAGCCAGAATAAAAAAATATAACATTGAGGATTCTTAAGGTTCAGTGTAAATGTCCGAGGCTTAAAACTTCAGACTAAGGCACAATTAAAACGTGTATGATGATAATGTACAGCTCTTTGTCAACCCACTCCATGCCTTAATGGTCATTGCATGTTGGTGAAGGACTGGTTTGGAAATCACTCGCCACTTATGTTTGCCTTGGGCAGAATCAAGCACAGCTTTTTGGGTTAAAGGCACAATTAAGATAACGGTTTTCTAAATTAAACTGCTTTTGCCCTAGGCTCACAGTTAACCTAATGCACCCTTAAGATTCTTAGGGTAAAATATTAACAGCGACAACTCAGAAAACCGTTATCTCGAGCGTAAACCCACGCATATGAAACACCCCCCTGAAACACACCGCATTAAAACTCTTGCTGCCAGAGGTCGCAAAGTGCATATACCCAGTGGCATATGACGACGGAGAATGATCTCACAAGGCAAAGTAAAGCAACCGTCTGGGCAGTGAGTCACATGCACACGTGAAACAGCTGAGGATTTTATTAGCCAAGTCAAGAGAAGTCAGCCTGGTGACCTTGCCAAACGCATCTCAACGCCCATGCCAGCTGACAGAGCACGTAACCTGGCTCGAACCCGCCTTGTGATGCCGAGTAAGGCTTAGCTTCTGTAAACTCTGCGTGTAATGTATACATTTGGGGCCGAAATACAGCTCCACTGACAGGCAGAACCTAAGCTGCTATGTACACAGATGTAAATTATTGCAGGAACTATTGGCAGTGTATTATAATTAAAATGAATGGCGTAAGAGAGGTAAGCACGGATATGCAATGTTGTGGGTAAGAAAACAAATTAACTGATGAGTGCATGCATACAACACCAACTCAGGGGAGCAGTAAGCTATGAAGCCAGTGACCCGAGTTCCAATCCTGACCAGGGCCAGTGCTGGGCATCGCCACTTCACCAACCCAAAGTGGCAAGCGTGGTAAAGCTTGATCACAAACAACCCCCATTTACCGACGGCATGTTGGAAGCCCTCAATCAGCAGTGGATGAACAGAAGACTGTTAATTATTAATGACTATATACTACATTTTGATTTAAAGCTTTCGTGACTGCAGCGATTCATATTCTTGGTTCTTTCGGTAAAGTCACGTTGAAGGGAAACAATAAAATATATACTACTATAATGAGCAAAGAATTTCTGTGTATCCTCTGCGTGACGTCACTCCACGGCGGCCACACCCCCCCTCATGAATAATCATGAACAGGTGACATCCTCCACATAGATCCCCTTATTAATAATCATTAGTGGGTGACGTCACTCCACATGTAGCACCCCCCCCCTCATTGATAATGAGAAGGTGACGTCACAATACGTCGGCCAGCCCCCCTCATTAATAATCATGAACAGGTGACGTCCTCCACATGGGGGGGGGGGGGGCGAGGCGCCTCCTCCCCCCTCCTCAGCGTCAACTCACAACCCTCACGACAAAGGCAGAACCCTCATCACGTCACGCGATCTCCGTAACGCTGTTGAGACATAGAAGTAAAAAGGACGTCATGAAGAACAAGGGATTATAACCTTTATATTAAATAAGTCTGTGTCACCGCGGCCTGACAAACTGCACACGAATTGATGCAATGAATTTCACGTCGCGATGTGCTTTTCGCTTGCAAGTTTCAGATGTACTGAAATACACCCGTCCTCGGATGGGCAAAAGTCTAGTTGATATGATAGTCTTGCGTACGCAGTGGTCAAAATGGGCTGGTATATGATGGGTACGCCATATCGGCACTTTTTACAACACAAAACGTGCCTACGGGGACATTTTAGAACGGTTACTCCACTCATAGTATGATGCTTCCACAGTGGGGAAACGGCAGTGAACGTGGGTTGCAGGACAAATAGATTTTACAGTGGCACCTACATTTCCACTTCGACCACTGTGTACACGTATATGATAGGGGCTTTATGCATGATGTTCAATGAGCGATGCTACACAATAATAGATCAGATACAAAAGCGTTCTTGGATGACAGTATCAATGTTTATAGCGCACTACCTTAAGCGTGCACGCTGCATTTCTTCAAGCATAAGTGTAGCATCAAACAAACATGATGTCAAAACACCATCGAAACCTGGCTTGAACCTGCTTTTCATGGTGCAATGTAAGTTTAGGTAAACTTTGCAAGCCCCTTAAGCATTTGGAGTAAAAATAAAATACAGCTTCTTTGAAAGGCACAACTCAAGCAGTTTTTTAAATTCATAATTAGCGTCTGAGAAAAAATTATAGAAGGAAGTTTTATTGCAAGTGCATTATAATGAAGCAAATGGTGTATTAGTATGCACCGTTTTGGAAAGAGGCAATCTCGTATATGCAATGTTATGGGTAATCAAAACAAATGAACTGCTGAGTGTGTGCCTATAACTCCCTTTCTGTAATCACGTAAAAATGTTAATCATTGTATTTCATACACCACACTGGGTGGTGCATTGGTGCAATGGGAAACCCATTTTGCTGCAA